TAGGGTTTAGGGTTTAGGGGGTACCGAAACACACCACAAAGCCGTCAAAACCCGAAGCAACCTTAGCAAAACCCTGGAACACCGATATAAAGACCTATCTTTCTCCCGCCCAGCAACTTACGATCTCCCTGCGCTCGTCTCAGCTCCCGATTTTTGGATGTAAACCCTGAACCTTCCTTAAGGACGACGGTTTAGGGTTTAGGGTTTAGGGTTTAGGGTTTAGGGCAAAAGGGATTCATAGTATACGTGTATAGGGCCCCTACTTATGAGGGTCATTTGGTCCCCAAGGTTCTAGGATGGGTTTGACTGGGTCAGGACTGCGGCTCCACAACCTGGCATGGACAAAAAAGTAGCCGGTCTCTAAGAGGGGTTTGGGGTTTAGGACAGTTTAGGGTTCAGTTTTTCAAGGAGCTGTAAGAGATAGACGCATATTCACGGCATCCTGTGATGAGCTACGCTTTGAACCCATGTCAGGGATTGCGGGATGCAAGCGAGCCCGGAGCGGCACGATGTCTAGGACCAGGGCATACTCCACGAGGTTCTTGCCGTATTGCTCCAACCTGCTCAGCCCGATGATGCTCGCATTGTCCTGCAAAGCCTCGAAACCTGCTCTACCTTAACCCACCAGAACCTACTTTTTTGTAGGTTCCCTATAAATCCCATATTAGGGTTTTAAGAATAAGAACCTACAAAGAAGTGGGGTTTGGTAGGTTAAGGTAGGTACGCTAGAACAGCTGTAGACCGCAATCTGGGAGCCTGAAACCCTCAACCCTAAACTTAACCCCTGAACCCTAAACCCCTAAAGCCTAAACCCCTAAACCCTAATCCCGAACCCCTAAGCCCTAATCCCCAAACCCCTAACCCCTAAACCCCTAAGCCCTAATCCCGAACCCAGCCCTAAACCCCTAAACCCTAAACCCCTAAACCCCAAAACCCTAAAACCGAACCCCCAAGCCCTAACCCCCTAAACCCTAAACGCCTAGACCCCAAAACCCTAAAACCCTAAACCACACCGTTAACGGCCGAAAGATGGCCTCCCCAGCCAAAACCTCAGCTTCCCGACCGTCCTTTGGGAGCCGGCAGTTGCATGCTAAACCCCAAACAGTCCCTAAGCCCAATTATGGTGACATATAGGGTTTTGGGTTTAGGGTTTAGGGTTTAGGGTTTAGGGTTTAGGATGTTACATAGCGCGATATATACTATATGGGTGGTGGTCAAAATTATGGTCCCTTTTGGGGTACCCTAAATATTAGGTGCCGTATTATATTACTAACCCAAAAAGGGGCCATAATTTTGACAACCACCCATATGTCATCCTAAGCCTAAACCCTAAACCCGAAATCCCACAGAATCACGAACCTTTAGACGGCGATAGATATACTTACTAGGAGGAGGTTTCCGTATGCGACATTTTTGTCTCTTTCGGTGCCTAATGGGTTCCAAAACTCGACTTTACTAGAACCCCCCTAGAACATAAGGATTTAGGCTTCCTTTTTTTGACTTCCTTATTTTTTACGTTCTTAAGCAGGTGTACTGGTGGTTAAAGTAGGCTCAACTAGAGACACTAGGTTGGAGAGCGTGAGACCTCCTCCCGGACTCTAGGCCGTCGGGGCTTGACGTTGATTCCGGATTTAGACCTCAAAGGATTCCTTAAGGGTTTCTTTAAAGGATCCTTTAAGGGTTCCTTCAACGGATCCTTTCGGGGATCCTTTAAGGGTTCCTTTAAGGGTTCCTTTAAGGGTTCCTTCAACGGATCCTTTAAGGCATCCTTTAAGGGTTCCTTCAAGGGCTTCTTTAAGGGATCCTTTAAGGGTCCCCTTCAGAGTTTGGGTTTCGGGGGTTTAGCTGTTAGGAATTTCGGGCCTTAGGGTTTGGGGGTCTTTTAGCTTTTTTACACTCCCTGAACCCTAAACCCTAAACCCTAAACCGTTTCGAAGCCGGCCTATGGATGTCATCGCGGGACAGGAACTGCAGCAAGGATGCGGCAGTCAGCGGCTGTTGGCTCTCAACCGGAGACCTCACTTCGCGTGGATGGCCCTAAAACCCTAAACCCCTAATAAGGGCTCTTGTGAGACTTTCTTGGGGGTAACGGGGTCTAGGTCTAATTCACGCTTCGGGTTTAAGGCTTCAGGGGTTAAGCCTTGGGAAGTCAAGTCTGCATGCGAGGACTCTGGAGCAAGGCTTACCTGAGTTGCAACTCACGTATACGCTTACATGCAAATATATCGAAACGAAGAAAAACTATCTAAAATTAAAGCAAAACGTCAGAGTATTGCTTGTTAAAGAGACCACGTGCCAAAGCGTCCCGTGGACAGAAGCCCTAAACCCCAAACCTTAAATCCTAAGCCTAAAAACCACCGAAAACCTTCCAAAACCCTTCAAACAACCTTTAAAAGACACCTTCAAGGACGTCCCAAGCGAATCGCCCTCACTTGGGTAGTTGTCAAAATTATGGTCCCTTTTGGGGTACCCTAAATAATAGGTGCCGTATTATAATAAGGACCCCAAAAAGGGACCCCAATTTTGACAATCACCCGACTTAGCTCCATGCTCGCCGTCCGCATCCTCCCGTGCGATCTCAGTCGGACAGGGGCTTGGTTTAACCGGAGGCTCTGAAGTAGAGATTCTCCCAGGATTCTATAATGGTTTAGGGTTAGAGTTCCTTGCAGGGGTTCTATAATGGTTTAGGGTTTAGGGTTGTTAATTCCTTCCAGGGTTCTATACCATAAGGGGCCTAGAGGGATCGTGTTCGGGTTAGGGGTTAAACCTCAACCCCAAACCCTCGAAGACTAAAGACACACAGACACACACACACACACAAGGCACATGTACAAAAATATTATGTTGTGTTACACTGAGCTTGGTATGTTATATGTTTTGTGGCATATGATGCTACCGTCTAGTATATTGTAGCATACAGTATCCTTTCATATATCAACTTATGTTCTATGACAGTATAATGTATTGTATTCTATGATGTTGTACTATGCAATGTAACGTAATGTAATGTTTTATGATACTGTGTGTGTGTGTGTTAAGCTGTGTCAAACGGTGATGTAATGCGTATTTTCTTTGACTGCATGGTATGTCTATGTTCGTTCACTACGTTTTATGCATATTGTATGGTATCGTCTAGTAGTATATTGTGTGTATATTATCTTATCCTATATTCTATTGAACTGAACTGTATTGTATCATATATCAATATATTACAGCAGTATAGAATTGTATGTTGTGCTCGATATGTTACGATATCTGCTAGATCGATGGTAGCATGTACTATGATTTACATACTATATACATATAGATGGACAGATAGATAGATAGATAGTTAGATAGATAGATAGATAGATAGATAGATAGACAGATGGATGGATAGATAGATAGATAGGTAGGCAGGTAGGTAGATAGATAGATTAGATAGGTAGACAGGTAGATAGATAGATAGACAGAGGGCATATACATATATGTGGTATGTGACATATGATGCATGATACGAAACATACTATTATATATATATATATATATATATTATGTTATGTTATATGATATATATTTCACGATTCATTCATTCCATAGTATACGGTGTTATGATAACATGTTACATGGCATAACGTATTGTAATCTAACATTGTAGATAAATAGAACATATTTTCATATGTTACTCAGGCTGAAGCGTCTGCTGGAGGCGGGTCCACCACCGACAAAGCAAGTCGTGTGGGCTGCTTCGAGAACGGCCTGGACGATGCATTGGCCAAAGGCTTCGGATCAAGGCGTGTGCTGCCGGATCTATACTGAACTTAGACCCCTAGCAAAAATTATAATTTTAGCTGCTTCTTAGGATTTATAGTAGCCAAAGATTAAAAAATATTTCTAAGTACCCCTAAGGGATGATTGATTGGGCTTACAGCTAGTATGCCGTCCTGAACCCCCGAAACCCGCATTGCAGGGTCCGCAGTTGTAGTCAAGCACCTACACCGGACTACTTAGGGGTTTCAGCGAACAAGGGAACACGACATGACCAAAATACATCAAAACCCCATGCCGAAACCCTAAACTCTACACGCGGAGCAACGCATTGTAGGCTTCTTCAACATCAGGACCCCTAAATGGAAACAACTGTTGTTGCAACAGCTCAGAAGTTTTGTGGAAGTCGGGCTTCAGGGTTTGGGATTCAGGGCTGTAGGTTACGTGGTTTAGGCTGAAAGGCGGCAGAGGCAGGGTTTGGGGTTCAGGGTTTAGGTGTCGCATCAGTACTTCGTCTTTGAAGCCTCGCTTGGGTCTCCGTCGCATCAGTGAGTGTTAGGTTTAGGGTTAGGGGTTCAGGGTTTAGGGTTTAGGGTTTAGGGTTCAGGGTTTAGGGTTCAGTGTAGACTCGTGAGCTGTTGCCGTTCGTCGTACAACACAAAAGAGCCTCGGTGTAATATCGAGAACGTGCGGTTTTCCTGCAGCTTATACCATGAATACACTAGGAGCCCCAGGGCACAAGGCTCTGAAGTTGCGATAATCTGCCCTGCGGCCCTTACATTACGGTACCATGCAGAAACAAAACCCTCTCAGAGCTTGGCTTCTCAGCTCTCGTTGGCCATGTAGTTTGAGTTTGGATTGGGTTGCAAGTACAGGGCCAGCTCACTACCACTGTTACAGCTCTTCTATAGCATAATCCCCTGCTGAGGTCGCACCCCTGCAGCAGTCGCAGGAAGCGCAGGCGGAAGTCCGCTACGAAGTGGTCGATAACCTGCAAGTCTGCGGTAGCTTGTTGATGGTCCTACAAGTTTCACTGGAGGGTTAAAATGCGTAAGCTAAGAACCTCAACCCAAAAACAGAGCGGAACGCCGAAGCCTAAACCAAAAACCAGGTCCTGAACATACGGTTGTATTGCGAAGGCTTGCTTTGGGTCCAAGAAGGACAAAGCCGGATTGCATTACCTGTAACCGAAAAGACCTACGTTTTTAAGGTTCCTCATTATGGTGCCTAGCCTATATATAGTTCCTTGAATTGGTAAGTCTTGTCGGCTACAGGTACTACCCAGCAATGACTGGATCGTCACAGATCTTCACCCAGGTTGCTGCTACCCCGACGGGCTTGTTTCCAATCCAAGCGCACATCATCTTCACACTCCCCTTTACAAGCTTTGCCGGAGCCTAAACTTTGAACTTGGGCGAGAGTTGTACAAATAGTGAAGGGCCAACTGCAAACTCCTGTTCCATGGATTGCTGCTGAGGGTTTGTGGGAGAGTCCATGCTTTTGCCAAGACAGGCTGCTGAAGGTCCTTGGCCAACACACTTGCTCAGAACCCACTCACCCACTGCAAGGTCTCAACAAAGACCCGACCCCCTAAAGAAACCCTAAACCTAAAGCCTGGCAACCCCCGTGAATCGGTCTGCGCGTCTTTCAAGAGACCTCGGCTAGCCCTAGACTGCTCAACGCGTGACCCCGCACCCCTCACCCCCAAGACCTAGCCTTCAGGGTTCAAGGTATTGGGTTTAGGGTTTAGGGTTTAGGTATAGTTTAGGACAGCAGTACGTGTAGGTCAGTATCTAGGGGAGTGTATGATTATGAGATAGGTGGACCCGCAAGGCAACCCCCAACCCCAGCTTGCCGCTGAAGTGGCCGGCTCTGCACGCGGTTCGCCCTCCAGTGGAGCCATCGTGCGGAGCAGGATGCAAGAATGCTCTCCTGGCTGGGTTTAGGGTTTAGGGTTTAGGGTTTAGGGTTTAGGGAGCAGGATGCAAGAATGCTCTCCTGGCAGTTGGGAGCTCAGGGATCACGAGTTTGAAGGTGCTTGTACGGTTTTGTGCTTGTTCGAGCAATTGCTGTTGCGTTGAGGGGGTAAGTTTCCGGCTTTTTCTTTCTGACCGAGGTTTAGTAACTTTAGTAGAACTATTTAAAGCTTCAAGGTCTGGAGCAAAGGCCCTAGTGCTTTCAGCTAGTCAACAGTCACACCCCCGCAGCTTCTGGGCCAAACTCCTTTTCCGCAGTGCGTTTTGCCAGTGGATCCCTTCGCCCCTGGCTGAACTTTGAAAAGACTCCTCTGCCTCCCGGCGGCATCGAAAATCACTCCACGGCTGAAGGCAGACTTATGCAGCTTGACAGCAACGCTATAGGATGTAGCGGGTCTGCATTGCCATCCTGTAGGTGCGCTGTCTCTGCGATACAAGACTCTCAGGCACGGCGTTAGACGGGCCTTCGAAGACGCCGCAGCAATGCCGGGAGCATGGAGGTTGAAAGTCCCATGCTCCCGGCAGTGGTGCGGCGTGATTGAATTCAGATATCGTGAAAGATTTTCCTTGCATTCCGCCAGGTATTCCCGGATTACATTCCCATCCGGCCAACCTCCCGGAGACAGGAGTTTTGCACCATGGATGTGTTCGGGGGCGCCTGCTGCTATTAGGACTCAGCCGAAGAGAGAAAAAGACGTCACCCTCAACCAAGCAGAAACTCAGCTGGCCCTGGAGCCCCAAACCCTAAACCCCCTAAAGGAGGGACCCTTAGAGGGACCCTTGGGGTTCTATAGGGGCTTTATGAGACTATATAAGGGGTATATAAGGGCTATATAGGGTATTTGGATTAGGGGTCCCTTCTAGGCCCTTAAGACCAAATCACCGGGGCCTGTCGCAGAGTGAGGCTGCTGGCGCCTGCAAAGAAACCGCTGGAGCTTCGATTTTCAGACCGTCAAAAAGCAAGGGCATTCGGGTTTAGGGTTTAGGGCAGATGCTATAGGCTATTCAAGGTTCATGCAGCGTGGTCTTGGGATGTACAGGAGTTCGTATAAGGACCTCTTTTAGGCTTCCCTTCAGGGCTTTCCCTCTTGTCTGGTTTTAAGGGCTGAGATGATTTGCACATCTTTGGGGTTCAGGGCTCAGGATTGGAGTGTTGATTCGTAAACCCTAAACCCCTAAACCCTAAACCCCTAAACCCCTAAACCCTAACCCCACAACCCCAAACCCCTAAACCCTAAACAACCCTAACCCCCAACCCGAAACCCTAAACAACCTTAAACCCTACACCCCTTAACCCCTAAAGCCCAAACCCTCAGCCTTGATCTTGCAGTAGCATATCCGTGACCGATACCTTACACCCTAAGACCCGTAGAGTTTGGAGGTAATGAAGGGGCCTTAGCCATTACCTGTACTATTTTGGGGGTTCCTTTTTATACTCATATAGTACCATGTGCGCCAAAACTCTATTCTATGTATTAAGGCCTCTATATTATGGGCTTCGTGGATTAACCGCAAAACCCCAAAACCCTAACCCCCAAAACCCAAAACCCCTAAACCCTAAACCAGTAACGTTCATCGCTGGGACTACAGCTGGACGAGTCTTAAACCGCGAGGCTCTCCTCACAGCTCACATGTCAGGGGACGTTAGAAAGGTGCAGGTTTTAGGGTTTTGGATTTAGGGGTTTAGGGGTTAGGGTTGAGGGTTGATGGGTTGAATGGTTTAGGGGTTTAAGTTTAGGGTTTCGGGTTTAGGGGACATGAGGAAAAAGGTCAGCTGAAGTACGAAGTAGTCGACGAAGAACACAGCGGGCAATCCTGAGCTCAACCCTACATTAATAGGGCCCCCAGAAGGCACGTAAGCAAAAATGAGGATAGGGATATCCAATATAAAACCCCGTATAATGAAGTCCAATAGGGTATAGGGATATCCCTATAAAATGCTGATGCTTATGTTCCTTTTGGGGTCCCTAAGTTAACGCTCCCCGAAGACACTAAGCTTATCCTGAAGACGCAGGCACGGCCAAGTCCACGCTATAGCCTGCAAAGCCTATCAGAAACCCCGCAGCCCCAAACCTAAACTTAAGACTAGCCCTAGCTGCTGAACCCAAAACAAGCCCAAACCCGAAATCCCGAACTAAATACAATAAATACATAGGTCCATATCATGACTTTCTGATACAAGTCCTAAAGCAGTGACTGGTTTTGGGATCCCAATTCCTGAACCCCTTGAGGCAGATCTCCATAATTGAAAATCGAAACCCTTAAGGGTTTAGGGTTCAAGGTTTGGGGGAAAGTCTCAAACCCCAAACTAACCCCAAAACGCTCCAACTCCTAAGCCCCTAAACACAGTAAAAAGGCGAATCTTCATGGGGGTAGTTGTCAAAATTATGGCACCTTTTGAGGCACCCTAAATAATAGATGCCGTATTGTAATAAGGACCCAAAAAGGGACAATAATTTTGACAACCACCCATGGGGATGCCGAGGATGGCGCAAGTATACCGGGCGGAAGCCGGAGCGTCGCCAGAACCTTGGATTTGGGCTTTGGATTGCAGGCTTGGGGGGTTTTTGAGGGGTTTTGGTTTAGGGTTTAGGGTTTGGGTTTTTTTTGGGGGGTTTCGGGGTTGAGGGCGGATAAACACAACACAGGGGCCTTAGTATTTAGAAAAAGCAAACGGGAACCCTGAGGAGTCGTGCCAGACAGTTTTTCGGTTTCCCTACTACATGCTTGGAACGGTTGCCTTTTTACACTTCTATTCCTAGGATACCGTATACATGATAGTCTGGGCTGTTTTCGACTTTCTACATCCTCCCTAAACCGCATGTGTAAGCCACAAAAGCCGGTAACCTCAAAACCCAAACCAGCCTCCTTTCCCTTCTTCCCAGCCTGATGAACCAGATTCTCTAGGTTCCCCAATAGCCCCTTAATAATAGCGGTACCCCTTTTCCCACTATTTATTTTGAGTGAGGGAGCCCCAAAAAGTAAACGAGCAAAAGGGTACCTAATGAGAAAGTGCCGGAGAAACCCTAAACCGTCAACCCTAATCCCTAGATCCCCAAACCCTAAACCCTAAACCCTAATCCCTAAACCCTAAACCCTTAAGCCCTAAACAGATTCTGAGGCCAGAGCTCGAAGAGCTCGTAGGTGAGACCAAAAGAGGTCCCAACCTCCAGAGATGCTTCGGGCTCAGGACATTGGGCGTAGGCTTCCTTAACGCTTAAACCCTAATCCCTAAACCCTCAACAACCCTAAACCTAAACCCTACACCACCCTAAACCCGAAACCCTAAACCCTAAACCCTACACCACCCTAAACCCGAACCCTAAACCACCCTCAACCCTAAACCTACACCCTAAATAAGGCTTGGGGTCCCTGGGCATGTCCATGTCAGGGGCCCGGGCGGCCGGCTTCAGGGCTGTCCTATTTTGGGGGGTTCCTTATTATATAAGTATAGTCAGTATAGTAGCATGGGCCCCAAAACCCTGTGCGAGTTATTCAAGCCCCTACATTAACCCCTTATAAACACCCCTTATAGTACCCCTTTTAAAGGACCCCTTCAAGGAGCCCTATTCTAATTCTTAAGGCCCCTACATTAGCTGTCGTCGATTCTTGGCGTCGGCCGAAGTTCGCAGAGGGACCCACGAAGCAGAGATGTCTGCCGCGGCGTTTAGGAAGTCTAGGGTTTAGGGTTTAGGCGTTAGGGTTTAGGCAGTTGAGGCTTTAGGGTTTCGGGAGTTAAGGGGTTAGGGTCTCAAACATCTTCGTAGATTGTCTGATCAAGGAAGACACTTTCCAGCCCATGGCACGAAGACCCGAGCCCTTAGGCCCAACACCCTAGCTGCTATACCGTAAACCCATCCTAAACCCAAGACTAAACTCGAACCATGAACCTCTGCACCTTAAACCCTGAGGATCTGTACCCTATCCCCTTGGACACTCAAGCCCCTCGATCCTAGATTCCATGCCTAAGCCGCTCCTCCCCCCAGGTTGCACTTTAGGGTTTCTCCTGCTCCTGACCCCTCCCTTCAAGCTTTTGCACTCTAAGCTTAAGCCTAAAGCCTGAACCCTAAACCCTAAACGGCCCTAAACCCTAAACCCAAAGCCCTAAAGCCTAAACCCTAAATCTACAGAGGGCCACTAGGTTCCAGCTTGCTTTCGCTTGAAGCAGGGCCCGGGCATAGCCCAAGTCGTAGGGCGGTGGCACTTCCGCCGTGGCCTCCGCTTGCTTGGGGATGCTCTCGGGCTTCGGGGGTAAGGGTTAGGGTTTAGGGTTTAGGGTTTAGGGTTTCTCTACAAACCCTAAACCCTAAGCCCAACAAACCCTCAACCGTAAACCCTAAGCGTTTCACGGCTTCGGGGCGTCGGGTGTGGTTTCAGGGTTTGGGTTTTCATGCTATTTCCGGCGCATGGATCCAAGGGGCTGGCTTTAAGGCTTCAAGTTTATGTGTAGTTCTCTAAGCTAGGGCCCTTTTCTGGGGTTCCTTAAAGGGATCTGGCTTGCTACGGGGTTTCTATAAGGGTGCCAAGAGGGTAGTTATCTGAACTAGGGTCCCGTCTTGGGCCCCCAGTATTTAGTACGCCACCCTTATAAAAGGGACCCTGATTCAGACAACTAACCCTAAACCCTATTATAAGGACTCCCAAAATAAGGTACCCTAAACCCTAAACCCTAAACCCTAAACCCTTAATTTCGGAAACTCCCAAATGGCATTCAAGGTGCATGCTATAGCGACGGCTTCGAGTTCTCAGCCCCAAGGATTCATGTCAGGCTTGTGGGGTAGGGTTTAGGGTTTAGGGTTTAGGGTTTTTTTTTAGGGTTTAGGGTTTCGGGTTTCGGGTTTAGGGTTTAGGGTTCAGTCTCAGTCAGTTCGGATAGCATTGATGATACATCTGGTTGTGTGCTCTAGCAGCAACGAGCATGTTCTATCTTGCTCGAGCCACCATCGTGGGTGCAACCTTCAACCCAGAAGTCGCGTCCAAAAGCCGGAAACCTCTGAATCCCAAGGCCTACAGAGGCCCTGAACCCTACGAAAGCCTACACACCCTAAACCCCAGACCTAGTTGAGCCCCGTACCAAAAAAACGATAGATACCTACACCCTGAACCTTGAATCCTACATGCCAAACCCTGAGCCCTCAATCGCAAGACCTTGTCTCCTGCACCCTGGACCATACTCATCCCTAAACCCTAAACCCTAACTCCTAAATCCCTAAACCCTAACCCCCAAACCCTAACTCCTAAATCCCAAACCCAAAACCCTAACTCCGAAATCCCAAACCCTAAACCCTAACTCCTAAATCCCAAACCCTAAACCCCTAAACCCTAAACCCTAAACCCTAAACCCCTAAACCCTAAACCCCTAAGTCCCAAGCCCAGCACCCCGAGCCAGCAACCCAAGGCCGATCCCCGGACGGTGCCTCCAAGAGAGGTGGTACCTCTCTGGGAGCCAACTCCTGCTCTCTGGGCTCGTTTGGGTTTAGGGTTTAGGGTTTAGGGTTTGGGGTTTAGGGTTTAGGGTTTGGGGTTTAGGGGTTTAGGGTTTAGGGTTTTAGGGTTTAGGGCTATGTGGGATTTAGACTCTTTTCCATAGGGTTGAAATCGTTTCCCCTACACCCTAAACCCTAAACCCTTTCCTTAAGGCTCCGTCGGTGCTTGAGGGTCCAGCTCCTGCAATCTGAGCCCTGAGGCTTCGATCATGAAGAGCTTCATGTGCTGCCTCGATCGGAAGTTCTGGAGTTACACTGTCAACTTGGGGCTTCTGTAAGGCTTCCAGAAGGTATATAGACCTTCTATAAGGCTCCTATAACGGTAACTACCCACCTGAAAATGTCCTAGATCAACCCTAAAACCCAAGACCCTAAGACTAAGGGTTTAGAGTTAACCCCCTTGGCCCAAGGACCTTTCCGCTCTAAGAGTTCTGGGCCTGATTAGGGAGAAAGTGTCGTGTTTCCTTGGGTTCGAGCCTAGAATCCCGCAAGCAACAGAGGTAAGAACTTTGGGGTTGGGTTCAGGAGGGCTAAACAACCCTAAACCCTAGACCTTAAACCCAAAGCCCTAAGCCCTAAACCCTAAATCCTAAGCCCTAAACCCTAAACCCAAACCCTAGACCTTAGACCAGAGGCCCTAAACCCTAAGCCCTAAACCCTAAGCCCTAAACCCAAACCCTAGACCTTAGACCCTAAACCCTAAACCCTAAGCCCTATAGACCCTAAACCCTAAGCGTCATGGCTGGGTCCTCTTCGTGAAGCTTGCCTGCAATGTGGACCGGTGTGGCTCGGCCGGGGAAGAAAGACCAACACAGGTTTAGGGTTTAGGGTTTAGGGCTCAATAATTCGACTAGGGTTTCGGTGTATGGTAGATTTAAACTACAGTAGGCAACCCTGCGCAACAATGATAACAAGAGTACTTTCTCATCGTGATATTCTGATTTGCATGGTTGAAATAATCAAGCAATTGGGACTACGATTGCTGTCGATACCAGGGACACGCTGCAGTTCCTGCGTCAGGCAAAAGCTGGCCAGGGAGTGACAAGCCAAGAAAGGCCAAATGCTGCAGGATTGTACTGCCAGCTCCCCTACAGTGTGCGAGAAAGCAGGGGGCCCTTGACATAACACAAGGGTCGTAATTTTGGGGGTTCCTTACTATAACTATAGCATAATCGACCCCAAAACCCTATTCTAACCTACATTAGCACTTCAGAAATAGGATGCTTGCATGTCCCCCCAAGTTTTAACCCTACCACCCCTAGACGATGCCTGAACAACGAAGAACCAAGCATGTAGGAACCAACAGGATAGATGGGAACCTATCCCTATGTCCTTTCCTGAGACAAACCAAACTCCCGAACCCTGTATACTCTCCGAAAGCCCTGGACAATGAACCCTGCAGTTGCGAAAGTTGGGGATGTTGGAGGCATGGGATGTGCACCACAGACTGGCCTGCCGAAGCATCGCCAGCTTTGCTCTTCTTGCTCCTGAAAATTCGGGGTTCGGGGTTCAGGTGTCGGGACGAGGCTTGCTAATACTATCCCCCGTCTCCCTACCTCCTATGTCCCTCTCTACCTACATGATTTTCGGACAACTTCCTGGGCTGTACTCTCATGTGCACACGGAGACTTAGAGCGACGGCATGGCCATTGGAGCTCACTGAAGGATGACTACTTACCCTGAAGGTCCTAATTATTTGACCGTTAGGTCATGTTGGTGCTTAGGTTGAGGATAGTAGAAATGTAGCTTAGTTTTTTCGGGAGCAGCTGATTATTGTATATTTGGACACGCCAGGCTTGATGTCGAGACTGGCTAAGAGCCCCCCGAAGGGTCAAGGGCTTCGAGGGTGGATCCCCGTTTCCAGTGCACTCTGAGTGATATACGGGCCTCAATAATTACCAATACTATTTTGGGGGGTTCCTTCTTATAAATATAGTATAGTGGGATCCAAAACCCTACTCTAATTAGTAAGGCCTCTATATTAGTCACATGCTGGGAGACTGGCAAGAAAGGATGGATTGATGTTCTGCAAGGGTTTTTCCTAGTAGCCATATGAGAAAAGCCCGAACGCTACACCCGCCAATTTTCGAGCGCAGCCCTTTTTACAGTCGTGAGAAACCCGAATGTAAACCCAATATAGACCGCAAATAATGGGATCTGTTACAACGACGCTAAACCAGCGCATGTCTATTTCCCAACCCCCCCACGCCCTGCAACCCCCTTAAACCCGATAGCACTTTGCACTAATTGCAGCCCTCGCAAACCGAAGCCCGAAGCTCCAAACTGCTCCAGACGCCCTCAAATCTATACCCTCAGCCCTCTCCCATTGAAACTCAAGCCTTAATAATTAAAAGAGGGTTCTGGGACCCATTATAGTATACATATGATATGGAACCCACAATAAATAGTATCAGTAATCCCTCTCTCGCGGCCGCCTGGAACCCTCCTCGCCGAAGGATGCGACACCGCGAGTCTTTTGCTCGAACCAGGCCTGGCAGTGTCAAAGTTCCTCTACGGATCCTTGCATGCTTCCAATAAGGGCTCTTTGGGGTTTAGGGTTTAGGGTTTTGGGGTTTAGGGTTTAGGGTTTAGGGTTTACCTATATGGTATATACTGAGACCCTAAAGTACCTAAACAGGAACAACATTAAGGCCAATGTATATACTATATGAGTACATGGACCCTTGGGGTTATGGCTTCTGCTAAGGATTCCTTCAAGGACTCCTTTAAGGACTCCTTTTAAGCCTCCTTTAAGGGTTCTACTAAGGATTCCTTTCCTCTAATAAGGGTTCCTTTGAAGGCTTCCTTTTCCTCCAAGGGTTCTACAAGGGAAACCCAGCCGTCTTTTGCAGTTGGGCATGTAAAAGCATGGAAGCCCTAACGCTTTTCTCGTCACCTGAAACTTGAAACCCTAAACCCTGAACCCTAAACCCTTCTCCGATCCTTTCCTCCCTTCTCTGACGAAAGACCGTATTTAATATTTTGGGAGATTCGGCCGGCCAACCCTAAACCCTAATACGCCGCAGCACTTTAGGACATCCTGGCTTCAGGCACGAAGGCCAGCGGAGACCATCGTCCCATGACTAGCTTGGTGCTGCTATAACGGCCCTAAGATACAGCAAGGACCTTCATAATGTAGGGGCCTTAATAATTAGAATAGGGTTGGGGGGATTTTTTTACTATAATTATACGAAGGAGCCCCCGAAACCCTTTCTAATTATTAAGGCCCCGACATTGATGCAAACCCCTGGTTAAGTGTCTCTCCCCCAAGCGATGGCAATACAGCTGGGCGGGACAATCATCTGTTTCACCGCTTCGGATGCATAGCCTGCACCATGAAAGTGCAGGGCTGTGCTCCTACGGTGGGCCTGTGGCTCTAAGTATCGGTTTCCTCTTCTGGGTTATACCCTGCAGTTAAGGTTTACTTGTCCAGTTTCGTGGAAAACTAAAGATTAACATCTGGGATCATGTGGACTATATAGCCTTGGGTAGATGAGTAGACTAGGGTGTTGGTCTCTGATGTTCAGAAAATTCATATGGGGACCCCACAGGTATCTTTCTGCTATTCACTCCGACGGTTCAGGGCTTTAGGGCAGCGGAAGACGCACCGCGGTGTCCAACGTCAGTCAACCCTGCATGAATGCTAACTGCATCCTAAACAAACCCAAACCATGAACCCTTTCTGGAGAGTCTTCACTTGCAACTGGGCCGGCGCGACCCTCTCTTGGGAATTCTCGCCCCAACGAAGCGAAGACAAGTCTAAGGTGCAAGTGCCATGTAACGAGTGCGGAGATGATGTGGAATCACCCCCCCGCGCTTCAAGAAGGTACTCTAATCAAACAGAGGAAGAGATAGCACAGGATACAGGAATATGAGGGCCGCATCTACTCGAAGAGGGCACTTCTTCGTTGTTGAGGGTTCCTTGGAAAGACTTAGGGCTCTTGCTTCAATCCGTAATCTCAGGGTTTAGGGCTTTTCAGGGAAACAAGATACGAAAAAGCTGGCGATGACTCAGGCGAGGACCAAGTGCTTGTTACTAAGAACTTAAAGGGTGCAGTCTGCAAAATCACAGCAACACACGCAAGTGGAGAACCCATTTGACAAGCCTCAGGCCTCCGTGCACCACAACATTCATGTCCAAAACTTCCGAGCGAGGCTTAGACCAGAAATCTGAACGAAAGCCTGAGCACGAAGTCCTACTCACAACAGCTCATACATCACCCAAAAGCCTTGAATCGGAATGGATTCGGGGTTCTCCTAAACCCTGAACCCTGAAGCCCAAAACCCTCAATGCTAAACTCGCGCTGAACTGCAGTAACTTCTTTCATGCAAATCACGTTAATCGAACCTGTCGTAATGTTTGGGAGCAAAACGACTTTAAATGACCAAATGAAACGGTCTGGGTATATCTAGGAACCCCTTACCAATCATACACCCAAAACTTGGTGGCCTTTGCGTTGCAGCGCGGGATGGGTCGCGATGCGAACGATTCGGGCGCCGGACAGCTGCCCAAAGCCTGTAAGATTGACATTGAAGGCTTTGTCTTTACATCGGGTTGGGGTACATAAAGCCATCTACGCATACTGGTTCTAGCATTATCCTTGTGCAGTCTAGCTGACTGACAGTTTATTCCTGAAATTTGTGGCTCTCGTTCAGTTCGTTCGACTTCCACCGAGGCAATTAGGCCTGAATCCGAAACTGCAGTGGTTTGCCATCCAGACTTCACAAACAAGAACCAACAAACAAAATTGAGTTGCATGTACTTGTTTGTCTGTGTCGTCGCTTTTACAACAAACAGCTTAGGGTCTCAACAGAAGCTTGGCAATGGACCATCGTGCAAGAAGTGCTGCGTCAGCGTCCACCTCAGTGCAATGCGTCAACTCCAGAATTTCGTGGCTCTTCTCGTGCTGGCTCGCCGTCAAGAAACGTGCAGGAGATGGCACCCCACCTAGACCGACAACATCTGCAAAGCGCAGCGACCCCAAATCAACTTTGAATGATCGCAATATCGTGATGCCAGAATCAATTGCTCTCGGCCAAACATGACTCATGGTAACCCAAACCCACCTCAAGGAGCTCCAAAGGACTATGGAGGGTGGACCCAAAACCTCATCAGAAACACTACAAAGCCCATGAGCTGGTGTCAACGATCGAACAAACACCAACCAAAAACCCTGCATCTCACAGCTGCCCCAGCCGCGGAATGAGGTCGCCCGACGGCCGCAAGCCACGCTTCAGCGAAGCCTGGCGTTTTAAGGGCTCCTTGACCAAAAAACCACTCCTTTTCATGACCTCAGCAGGGCTTACTAAGGCCGTAGGGCTTAGGGCTCCAGGGCTTCCGGGTTTGGAATTTTGGGATTCAGGATATGACGGGGTTTTAGGGTTTAGGGTTTAGGGTTTAAGAAAGATTCAGGATATGAGGGGGGTTCTTCAACAAGTGGGCTCCCTTGTCTAGGGCACTCATCAGAGCAGCGTACTAGCCCAGAGGATCCGGAGGGAGACCCTTGTTTGGAGAGCCTTTTTCCTTTAGGGTTTCGGTGAATGCATGTGGGACTCTTTGTTAAGGGGTACTACAGGGGCCTTAATAATTTGAATAGGATTTTGGGGCCCATTTTACTATAATCATAATAAGGAGCCCTCATAACCCTATTCTAAGCGCTAAGGCCCCTATAGTACAGGTTCGCCTTCGTAGTACTATTCTGCTCGGCATCATTCTCTAGTTTTCCCAGTAGCCCCTTAATAATCAGGGTACCCTGTTTCCTACTACTTGGGTGTTAATAAGGGAGCCCAACAAGAAAAAAGGTCAAAACGGTACTACTGGGGAACCCAGTTTTGCAAGTATCGCGACTCCATAACCCTACTCAAAACTCCTAAGTCCTTAGTTCTCGAAACATCTGTAGAACCTTCCACGTGCATGCCATATTCCGAAAGTCTTGCTACGAAGACGCGACTCGAAGTATCAAGGGATGTCGCTAGCTGCTTCAAGATAGGCAGAAGCCAGCCACTTGCTCAACCCCTCTGGCCAGCCAAGCAACCCTCTTCGACACTGCCCTAATGTAGGGGCCTTTATAAGGGTTTTGGGGTATACTATAATATAAATACAACAAGGAGCCCCCGAAAATAAGATGGGGACTTCTTGAAGCCCCTCTATGATATCAAACTCGATAGAACCCCCCCGGGATCTCAGGCAACTTTAGAAAGAAAACCTGGCAAAGCCACAACCCCCATTGAAGGCCTCAAGCCCGAACCTCTGACCCAGCCCCGAAGCCCACTCAAACACCGAAACGGCTTCGGGTTTAGGGTTTAGGGGACATCGTTCCTAAGGGCCAGAAACCTTAAGCCCTGAAGGGGTTTAGGGTTTAGGGTTTAGGGCAATTCCAGTCTTACCCCCCCTTCTTTTTTGACCTACGGTGCAGAAACACAAGGACGGAGACCCAAGAAACTAATATGTTTCGGCGGGGCATAGAATCACACACATGAACAATGAAGAATCGCTTGTGTTTCTGGGGGTCATCTGGGTTCGGCGGGACCTGAAACATTTCTTAAAATTAAACACAGAAAGCTGAGTTGACTCCCCCCGAGCTCCAAAAGTTGAATTTTTTTTAGATTCCGTTTGCTTTAATTCCAACATCGTAGACATGCAGCAGCTCAAAACTTGTGAAAGACCAAAACCGACACATGACGCGCAACTGTCCCTAACCCCCAGGTACCTACCATATAGAGTCCTCCAAACTCTAAGTGCCTTGACGCTGTCCTGCGAGAGAGCACCCTCCATACAGATCCTGGGTTTAAATTGGAGTAGCCCTTGTCGCACCGCTTACATGGACCCTACAGAACCTACCCTTTTTAGGGTTCCTTAGTATGATTTTGTTTATAAGTCCCTTAAAAAGGTAGGTTGTTTGGGGTTAAGGTACAGCTTGTGGAACCCATATAGTCGCCCTTCTAGTGCTGCAAAGTTGTGCCCTTTGTTGCGCAGGTTTCGGGGCTTGGGCGTCGCAGGAGTCGAACATTCAGGAGTTCAAGTTCCGGAGAAACCCAAAGCCTCGAAACTACACCCCAAAAACCCTAAACCCAAACCTCTGAAACCTAAACAAACCATAAACACCAAACTCTGAACCCTAAACAAACCCTAAACCCTAAACTCTGAACCCTAAACAAACCGTAAACACTAAACTCTGAACCCTAAACCCTAAACCCTAAACTCTGAACCCTAAACAAACCATAAACACTAAACTCTGAACCCTAAACAAACCCTAAACCCTAAAGTCTGAACCCTAAACAAACCATAAACACTAAACTCTGAACCCTAAACCCTAAACTCTGAAACCTAAACAAACCATAAACACAAAACTCCGAACCCTAAACGGAATTCGTGCTGAGAAACTGCAGTGCCAAGGCCCTCTACTTGGAGCTTCGGGCTTCCGCGCTTCGGTGTTGCTGGGGTAGTTCTCTAAATTCGGGCTAGGGTTTAGAGTTTAGGGTTTAGGGTTTAGGGTTTAGGGTTCAGGGTTTAGGGTTTGGGGTTTGGGGTTTAGGGTTTAGGGTTTCGGGTTTAGGGGTTTTGGGGTCCCTTAAGGCATCTTGAGGAGTTTCTATGGGGTTTCGATAAGGATACTACAAGGGTAGTTCTCCTTCTGGGGTCCTTTTTATAAAGGTGCCGGTCCCGAATTTACAGAACCACCCTTGGACCTCAGACCTAGTAATAGGGGCCTTAGTAATTAGAATAGGGTTTTGGGGTCCATTATGCTATATATTGTTATAATGAGGAACCACCTTTATAATGTAGGCAATTAACCTTAAACCCTAAACCCCAAAATAGTATTGGTGATTCTTGAATCCCCTACATTAAGCAGTCAAGCCTGAAACCTAGCGCTGGCAAGCTTTGAACCGTAAGCCCCTAAGCAAAAAAACCTTACAATCATGCAAACCCTTATGGCATATATGGGTCCCTTTAAGGAACCACCCAAAAAAGGGACCCTAATTAATTTAGAGACCCTACCCTGAAGCCCATGAACACGGTTATCCAAGCCTTCCAGAGTGTCCTAAAGCGGAAGGGACGAGGGGCCTTAATCGTTCGAATAGGGTTTGGGGTATATTATACTATAATAAGGAACCCCAAAACCCTATTCTAATTAGTAAGACCCCCTAAACGAGGTCCAAGGATCTGAATGGCGACCAACACCTCCGGCAACTCGGCGGAGTTCGAGGCCGCGTCGATGGGAGGCAGCCTGGGAACGATAGTAATACGGTTGATGGACAAAATCCTGCATGACCTTATATACCTAAACTATGGGATTTGTGGTTCTATACTATATTTGGGTCATGCAGGATTGTGTGCATCAACAGTAGGGCCTCTCGGGCTCAGGGGTAAAACTGTTGCTTTACTGCTGATGCTGGTGGGAGTCTTGTTTCTTTTTGTTCGTTTTCTGTTGGGAAGTGCTTGTTTTTTTTGCTGTTGGTGCAGGGCTGGGGGTGTTGTTTTGCTATTGGGCTCCCAACTGGCCGCTCACTCACTTCTTGATTCGCCGGGGCCTCAGCTGCACAACACAACAGCAAACACGAACCAACAGCAAAACACAAACCTGCTCCGGGTTCAGGGTCGAGCTACCTGCTAGCCCTGAAAGCTAGATTCCGAATCCTTACCTCGTGGATGAGATATGCTTGGACCCTAGTTCAGGAACGCTTAGTACTATAGGGGCCTTAATAGTTAGAATAGGGTTTTCGGGGTATCTTATACTATGATTATGATAAGGAGCCCCTAAAATGCTAACCTCAAGCTCCACCTTCGACAAGAACTACCAAGGCTAGCTTGGGAATGTGACCCGTTGAATTGAAGCGCAAAAGAGCCCAACGACCAACCCCAGGTCGTCCTTAGAAGAACCCTACAGCACAACCTCAACACTAAAGGGTTTAGGGTTTAGGGTTTAAGTCTTTCCTTCGTAGGTCTTTGCGAAGGTCTTTGCCACAAATGGCTGCGACTGTCGACAGAATGCGTACTGCTAGCAAAATACACAGACGCAGATTGTCAGAACATCTATGTCTGTAATTGCATAAAATGACAAAGATGCAAAATTACACACATATGTATGTGTGTATATACATACACATATGAATGTACATTTTGATTGTGCATGCACAAGTCTGCAAAAAGAACACGTGTCGCCACTGCCTAGCAGTCGAACGTAACCGGAGCAACATGAAGGCATGATGACTATAGTGACTAGTGGAGAGCATTTTTGAGACGCATGGTGGTCGCGGAGCTAGACATGCATAAAATAAGCATGTGGAGCATGCGGACAGTGCCACAAAGCAGCAATCACATAACAAACAAAAGCACAAGAGAAACTGGCCCTTCATTTTCCTTTGTCCGCCACCTTGGCTATAGACCCTAAGCGCCACTTGCGTAATAACTGGCGCACCGTAAAACCCGAGCATTCTCATGATAGAAATTACATACAGCCCAAAACCTGAAGCTTAAGCTCTCCAAGACTCCGAGCTGCCCTAAACCCTAAACCCAAAACCCCAAACCCTAAACCCTAAACCCTAAACCGTCCCAACACAGACGAGCTCTCTCTGAGATACAGGCAGTACAAGAAGATGATGGGCCGGCGCATCCGCCATCAGCAGGAGGTCGTTGGGTGAGTTCTTGTAGTGGCCTCGGAGAGAGATGGTAGGGTTTAGGGTTTAGGGTTTAGGGTTTAGGGTTTAGGGTTTAGGGTTTAGGGATGGAGCCCCGGCGACGTAAGTCGACTGCAGGAGATATCGTTGATCTTGGCCCGGTGCTAGATTTTAGCTGTTGCTATTGCTGCTCATGTTGTTGCTGCTGCCAGTGCCTCAGCAGCTGTTCTTCTTCGTCGTCTTAACACTGCAGGTGTCGTCGATGTTGTCGCTGTCGTGCGTGGTAGCGAAGGGTGTGGTCGTATCCGCGATATTGGCGCTTTGTGTTTCCTTTTGCTGCTGCTGCTTCTGTCGTTTCCGCTCGCCGCCGTCGTGCCATTGCTGTTGGCGATGCTGCCAATGAGATCCGTACAAAGGCCTCCCCTCAACTTGCCTGCAACAGGCTCTAGGGTGCCGGCTGGAAACGAAAAGCGACATCATCTTGAAGAGGAACTTCTCAGATGCTTCCTGACACATCAAGAGTTGGTGGGATGAGGCTTCAGGGCTTATGGCTTCATGAAATTGAGATGCTTCCCGGCGCGACAACCCCAACAGAAGCTCTTTGCTTCCTTGCCCTTCTGTATTGGCTGCTGGTGGCCCCTCGGAGATCCCTGAATGCGTATTATGAGGACTCCCTGTCCCTACCAGCAAGAGAAAGGGGGTTTAAGGTTCAGGGGTTTTTTTAGCCCTAAACCCTAATCCCCAGAACCCTAATCCTAAGGTTTAGGGATTTGTCGTTGTGAAGATTAGGGTTTGAGATAAGGAAGGGGTCCCTGATGGTAAGAAGCCTCGGGGCCCACCAACAAGTAGGGCTGACTCGGTACAAGCGGGCGTCAGAGAAGCTCTCAGGTTGGGGTTTAGGGTTTAAAGGCTTAGGGTTTAGAGGTTTAGGGTTTAGGGTTGAAAAGCGGTTGATTATGATAGGGCTTTGGGGCCATGTTCTTGTATGTATGTATTCAGGAACCCGGAGAAGTATCACCGGTAATCATTCAAGCTTCTATCTTTATAGACTGTGGGTTCTGAATCTTGCATTATGTTTGTTTCAAGTTTCGACCTACGGAGGAATAACAATACTGTGCCTACTTTCCATGGGAAACAGTGACTATTCTGTACGGCTTCGCCACTTTCTACGTTTCACCTTTTTCCAATTTAGTATATATCTTCTACGGCTTGACCACTAAACTTCAGTGGTTTCGTTCAGGGCTAAAAGTTCAAGCAGGGTTGGTTTAAGGCCTAGGCTTTGGCGTTGTGGGATGTTCAAGATTTCGGGGTGAGGGTCTTCCGATGCTGAAGAGTTGCAGTGAGGGCCCAAGCGCTCGTAGATCCCTAAACCCTAAACGCTAAACCCTAAACCCTAAACCCTAAACCCTTCTTGATCTTCTATTCAACATTCGGGGGTTTTAAAAGCTAGGGTCCCTCTTATAGCTTACAATGAGGATCCTTGGTTTAGGGTCTACATTGGGTCGTCCATTTCTGAAACTCGTCTCCACAGTGAAACCGGCTCTGGGATCGGATTCTAAGGGCCCACCGGGATGGCCAAGATGTCTTCAATCGTTGAACTTGGGAGTTTCAGAAAATTAGGGTACCTTATTTTGGGGTCCTTATAATAGGGATCCTATTATTTAGGGTACTATATTAGGGTCCCTATTTTTGGAAACCCCCACTTGTGTTGCAGGCTGGAAACCACGAAACAACATAGGACATGCGGAATGATTTGCAGCTTGAGAATAGTGTCTATCGATGGGCTTACGAGTGTAGTAGGGGGTTCAGGGCTTGCAGGTTTGCGGGCTTCCTCCTGTAAAGCAAACTGACCAAACCAAATCTGAGCTCAGCACATGGTACGAGAAGAGAGCATCGCGGTTCACCCAGAAAAGGCTGCACCTGCGAGGGAACCCTGAAACCCACAAGAAGAAACCTTGAACACTCAAGCCTGAAGGCCCTAAAGACCGCAACCAGAAACCTTCCATCCCTCCAGCTCTGGATCCCAAACCGGAAACCTGAACTATGGAATACACCTTACAAGCCGTACTAGGGATCCTGCTATGATTTAAAGTCCTGTCCCTTAATGGAGGCATGTTGGAAGGTCTGGTTGAACCGTCTTGAGTCCCAGGCTTAACCCTTAGGGTCCAAAGCAACCCAGGGACCTCATGAGAAGTTGTAATGTAGGGGGCCTTAACAATTAGAAATGGGTTTTTTTGGGTATATTTTGCGATAATTATAATCAGGAACCACCAACATAGTATAGGTATTTATTCCAGCCCCCAAGACCCTCACGGTTGGGTCCCTAGGGTATGCAATATTGCAAAAAACTACTACGATTACTACTGTAATGAACATTGTTAGTGATCATTGTCCTTGCGGTGCAACTATTTTATGGTACCCTCTTTGTCGAGCTCAACAAGGGCATTACGTTATAAGTATTGTTCTTCTTACTAAGTCTAAAAGAAAGGACACTCCTGGGGCTCCGACTCGGCCGGCAAAGGCAAAGAGCTCATCTGCAGCTTCGGAACCTCATCGAAACCGCTTTTGGCTTGCTTTGTGGGGGGTTGTTGCGACTCTTTGGGACCTTAAGCCCTAAACCCTAAAGGGGGTCATAAGGAGCCTTTAGCCTTGAGGGCTTTTGCCTTATGAGGCTTAGGGTTCTTTCTGAAGTAAGGGTTCCACCGGGGTCATGAAATGGACCTATCTTCCTGAGATTCTTCGGGACCTGATCTCTGCTCCTAGGGCATTTGGGCTTCGAGGGATCTAATGCTTCAGCGGTTTTGGGGATTCAGGCTTCAAGGCTAACCCTAGACCCAAAACCCTAAAGGGTTTAAGACGTCAGGTTTGGGCTTCAGCCGACTTCAGGTGTTCGGTGTCAACCTGTTTTGTTCTAACAAGGGTATCTTGTCATGCAGGGGTATCTTGTTCTAAAGGTGTGATACAGTTTCTGTGTCCGAGTGTTACATGTTCGCAGTGATGTTCTAGGTTACCCGAACACGCTGAAGACTCAGTCAATCAAGTATAACAGCTGCAAACCCGGTAGTCATGAACATAGCAAAGTGTGCTTATTGAATCCCCCCAGTGCTGGAGGTACTGTGGCGTTCTCGCATGGTGCCTTTTGGTATTTGCTTTTTGGAGGTTCGAGCCGGCTTCGAGTTTGAAGGTCTTTGTAGTCGCAAGCCCTGTTGACCGGAGGAATCTGGAGGGAAAGAAACAAACAAGAACGGTTTAGGGTTTAGGAAGAACCCACATCTCAACCCGAGCCCACTGTGACTACGCCACTGCACCATCAAATCCTGGCTCGCTCCAAGAACAACCCGCCACACCTCGACAAAATCCCCGAGGAAGCGTATGATCTACCCATAGGCCCCATAGTAGTTCCTTGTTGGGATTACCTTATAGGGTTCTAAATATGAACCCCAAAAAGGAACTACTTTGGGGCCTATGGGTAAGTACTAGATCATCGTTTCAACAAGTCAACAGCACTCAAGCACCCGATCAGCGAGTGAGGGCCTGCGCAGCGTCCAGGCAAAGTAACCGCCCGAGCCAGGACTGCCAAGGGATTTATGTAATGTCACATGATATCGGCACACTGTCTCGCTCCATGTGTAGTATAAAGAAAAACCAACAATATATATATATATATATATACATATTTATGTAGTCGCGAAACATCAAAGTTCGGAGAAAGGCGTACCGTAGTTGACGACGACTACATATGCTAGTGTGCTTGCAAAGGCTTCCAGGGTTTGTGACTGTTGGACAGGTCTCACGGGGATAGGCGAAGAGGTGTTCTTGGGTCGAGGAAGCTTGTCAGGCTTTACACCTCCCAACCCTACGCCCGGAACCCGTATTTATTGCCTGTAAAACCTGGAAGCCCCAAACGCCCCAATAGAGATGCCTGAATAATTAGGGTCTTGGGGTTCATTATACAAAAAACCATAATAAGGAACCCCCCCCAAAAATAGTATTGGTATTTATTTCGGCCTCTACATTATAAGTCCTAAATAAACCCTTAACCCCTAAACTGCTAAAACCCTGAAGCCTCAAAGCCCTAAACCCTAAAACTTTAAACCCTAAACCCTAAAACCTTAAACCCTAAAAACCCTGAAGCCCCGAGAGCCCTAAACCCTCAAAGCCATGACACCGTGAACGACCCATAGGCCCTAAAGTAATTCCTTTTTTTGGGATTCCCGAATAGGATTCTAAATATGAGCCCCCAAAGGACTACTTTAGGGCCTATGGGTAGACCCTCAACTCCCTAAACCTTAAACCCTCAACGCCCGAAGCCCTAACCCTCAACTCCTCTTCCAGGAACTACTTTAGGGCCCCTAAACCCTAAACCCTAAATCTTAGGGAACCCCCAAAAGGAACTACTTTAGGGCCCATGGGTACCAAGCAGCGGTGCCTCAACGGGATCTCCAGGCGCATAGCGGATCGGCTCCTGGCTTGGAGCAACGGGGTTTAGGGCTTATAGGGCTTGTCGGGCTTGTAGGGTTTATAAGGTTTATAGGGCGTATAGGGCTTATAGGGCTTATAGGGTTTGGAGGGTTCTATATAGGGTTCATAGGGTTTATAGGGTTTATAGAGCTTATGGGCTATTTTAGGGTTTAGGGCTTATAGGGTTTGTAGGGCTTGTAGGGCTTAGGGCTTATAGGGTTTATTGGGTTTATAGAGCTTATAGGGTTTATAGGGCTTACAGGGTTTAGAGGGTTTATAGGGTTTCTAGGGTTTATGAGGCTTATAGAGTTTATAGGGTTTATGGGGTTTATAGGGTTTATGGAGTTTATAAGGTTTATCGGGCTTATAGGGTTTATAGGGCTTATAGGGTTGGTAGGGTTTGTAGGGTTTTAGGGTTTGTAGGGTTTGTAGGGTTTACAGGGTTTATAGGGTTTATAAGGTTTACAGGGCTTATGGGGCTTATAGGGCATTATAGAGTTTATAGGGTTTATAGGGCTTGTAGGGTTTATAGGGTTTGTAGGGTTTGAGGAAGAGGCGAAACTGAGAAAAAGATACAACTACCAATCTGTTGTGGCAACACGGCGCAAGTCGCCCAATTCTGGGCCCTTGCGCAAAAACATCGCCCATTCATTGCGAGCAAACGTGCCGTTGCAAGTCCCTTTCGAGGCTTGTTTTCAAGCTCCATGCCGCCCGAGGTTTAGTGTTCGATGATAACAGCTATAGGTTCCGATTACAAGACACTTTTTCGGCTACTAAGCACAAGACTAAACAACGCCCCTAGCTTGGCTGTAAATGAGATTTCTTCTGTCACCCCGATCAGTTGGATAGGACAAACTCAATGTTTTCGAATAAGCACTGCCATGCGCCCTTAGACAGAACCGGCAAACCCTGATTAGACAAACTGCTGACAATCGACGCAGACGAGACATGAATAGTAGCAATATTGATTTCAAAACCAATGAAAAGCAGTAGAACCCTAAACCCTAAACCCTAAATGACAAAACGATCCAACATAACCCCCAGCGAGGACCTCGAGACGAACAGCAAAAGCCAAGCCTCCAAGGACAGCTCGCGCAAGGTTCGGTCGCTGGAAGGCCCTGATTTAGGGTTTAAGGTTTAGGGTTTAGGGCCCTGCGCAAAAGAGACAAGACTGGAGGGGCTCTCATTAGGAAGAGTTTCGTGGGATTTATTGGCGAAGGTTCATGAACTAGGGTCTTCTGGGGCTTTTTGTAACCCTAAACCCCGTGAAGTTTGGGGTTTATATAACCCTAAACCCAAAACCCCGTAAAGTTTGGGGGTTTATGGCTTTATGGGCGTCTAATGGGGTTTTATTTGAATTTGTTTAAGCGACTCACAGAGATCCGGCACGTTCAAGATTGCTGTCTCGCAGGACCCACATGCCTACAAAGTCCATACATTCGGCCTCACCAAGACTCCATTATTGTCAGGATCTGTCTACCCATAGGCCCTAAAGTAGTTCCTTTTTGGGGTTCATATTTAGAATCCTATTAGGGAATCCCAAAAGGAACTACTTTAGGGCCTATGGGTACTTAGAGATCCCTGATGTTCGGTCCCAATAGAGAGCATCACTCTGAAAGCGGACCCTAACATGCAGAACTACTCAGATAAGAGGTACGACGTAATTTGATAAGCGGGCTGAGCGTGGAAGCATTAAAGCCTCGTGCTAACATCTTCCAGTTGCGGAAGCTACGGTTTTGGGTTTGGGGTGTAGCTGTGGCATAACACCTCTATGTTGAATTCGACAGCCTTCGGAAATGCTATATGAACTCACTGTGGAGCTACGAACAAGCAGAATGCCTCCCTGAACCGGCATGAGGATATGGGGATTCGTTCTTTATCCAGATGAAGGGGCCTAAACCCTACACACCAAAACCCTAAACCCTAAACCCCAAAACCCCTAAGCGAAGCCGGGAAGTGTAGGTCTCACTGTCCTGCAGGGGCTGAGGCGTTTCTGTCTCAAAGTTTCCAGAGCATCTTAGCGGAGAAGAGTCAAAAACGTGTAGGCTTCGATTTCGAGAGCAGACGGGAGCACATGTCCTCGTTATCTTGAAGATGTGGGGAGGTTGTCCAGCGGCCACAACACACAATCGGCAAGTGCTCCTCTTTGATTAATTGAAGGGTCCGTCGGGAGTCCGGCGTCCCGGGTCGTCGCAGGCAGTCTGCAGATGTCACGTTCCGCTGGGGCAGGGGTCGAAGAGAGCCTTCAGAAGACTTTTCGAAGGCCACCCAGGACCTGCCAACTTTCCTCCAAAATGGTAGCGACCCTCGCCTTGGAATCCTCCTGCTTCAACGCGGGCAAAGCGGCCACCGGGGATCGTCGAAACATGGAGGGCAGCCCGGAGAGGACCACTCACTGCACGGCCAACCTGCAGCGAGGCCTCAAGCGTCGTGGCACATCACCCGTTCAACGTAGGCTTGCTCGCAGGTATCCTTATGTTGGATATTGTGACCCACATACACTAGTGCCGGCGATAAGTATGCAACTCCTTTCCTGGCAAGAAACTCTTTTGACCCAGGCTGTTCTTATTCGGTTGAGTTCTTGGCTTAGGTTCAGGCTTCGGTGTTCGGAATTGCGACCCTGCCTTTCTTGGCGCTGCCGACGCCCTTGCCGGCTTTCAGATCCTTCCAAGGACATGTGTCCACGAGAAGGGAACCAGACTTCGTGAATACTGTACGAACCTGACTGATGGGTTCCATATAACAAGGAATCCATTGAGATCCAGGGTTTGTCATTGACCAGCTTGTTATGCATCGTGGTTGATCCAAATGTTGTTGACTGTTGAGCCTCAGGATCCAACCACCTGACACTGGCATAATTACTCGCAAGTACTGTGCTACTGCCTTGGCCGGCTTGCCGTAAGCTACGGCATGTAATGTAGGGGCGTAACTTTTTACATATATTATTTTGGGGGGTGCCTTATCATAAACATAGTATGATTTCCCGCAAAACCTATTCTAATTATTAAGGCCCCTAGATTAGTGTTGTTCCACTCTGGCCTTGGGGTTTGGGCCCCTTTACGTAGCGGTCCAAGCAATGAGGATCCTAACATCTCGCATCCAGCGTCCATATTTTGGGGGTCCCGTACTTTCTGAAAGTTGGTGGTCCTCATCTGTTTGCACCCCCGAAGGTTACCAAGTCTAGAGGAAAGTCGGTTCTTCTACTAAGCTAGATCCCCATATCAATACTTAGGATGGCGCTCTTGGGATCAAGTTGCTCAAATCGTGCAAAAGGCGACATCAAAGCACTTCCTTCCTCGAGTCGTCCTTACCACGAAACGAGCCAAAATCCATGGGGGCTGATATCCTACAACGCCCTCAACCCTAAATCCCAAACCGAAATCCCCATGTGGGATGTACGTTATCAGCTCTTTCTGGGCTCCTTCTTGATGTAAAATTGCTCGATCGAGCGTTTCAGGCTTACGGAGAAGACGACTGGAAGACCACTCCAGGGCCACATCCCCAGTAGGAGAAGAAACAAAGGATCCTCATCGTGCGGCCCTGCTAGGACATTCGGCATCTCGAGGCTTTTTGGTAGTCTAATTCCCACAGGGTCCAAGTACTAGTATAATATATACTTCGGGGGCCCAAGTACCTACTAAGTACCTACTATCGTAATGATATTTGGACCCCGTAGGATTGCAGCAGACCACGCTCCAGAGGTCGAGCAGTAGGGCATTGGAAAGAAATTTGGGCAGAGCGTATCAGGCCGATGTAGTTGAGCTCATGATTCGGGCTGGAATGGGGGGGAACTCCGAAAAACGGGGCCGACACGTGCCCCAGCCGCGCTTGCACATGCAGGTGCGTTTCGCAGGAACTGCAACCCCACAGTGTTCCCGCACTATTCAGGGACCATACAAACAAAACCCGAACAAACACAACACCTGAACAAATCCTGTAAATCTCTAGAAACCCAAACACAAAGCTTAACTAAATCCCTTGAAACCCTAGGAACCCTAAACCCTAAACCCCTAAATCCCTTGAAACTCTAGAAACCCTAAACCCTAAACCCTAAACCCCTAAATCCCTTGAAACCCTAGAAACCCAAGGCAACCATGGATCCCAACCCCAAACCCTAAACCCTAAACCCCAAACCCCTAAATCCCTTGAAACTCTAGAAACCCAAGGCAACCATGGATCCCAAACCCTAAACCCTAAACCCTAAACCCTAAACCCTAAACCATGGATCCCAGGTCCTCGATCAGCTTCAAAGACAAGGCTCGGCCGGTGCCTGCTCTCAGATGGTTTTAGGGTTTAGGGTTTAGGGGTTTAGTGTTTAGGGTTTAGGTTTAGGGTTTAGGGTTTCTAGAGTTTCAAGGGATTTAGGGGTTTAGGGTTTAGGGTTTAGGGTTCAGGGGTTTAGGGGTTTAGAGGTTTAGGGTTTAGGGTTTAGGGTTTTGCAACGGGTCTGCGATAATGTAGGGGCCTTAATGATTAGAACAGGGTTTCGGAAGATACTCTTGTTATAATAAGGAACCCCAAGGAATAATGTGGGTAGTTACCCAGACCCCTATATTGCACAAATTAGGGCTTGGGGTCTTGTTGCATTCGCCTTTAGCTGTTGGGCGTTCATTTTGAGTTCAGGGCTTTGGGACTTGTTTTGATTCTGAAAACATTTCAAGCGCCTTGAAAGGCTTGGGGTTCAGGGCTTTTGGGTTTGGGTGGGCGTGGGGCTCAGGAGTGAACATCTCTTGGTAAGTTTGGGGGGAGGAGGTTTGCGGCTTACGGGTCTTTTAGGGTTTAGGTGTCAGTGCGGTCACATGTGCCAGTGCACGCCATCTGCTCCAGGTGCTGTTGCAAGGTATCTTCGGTCTAAAGAGGTCGCTGCCTCTCCAGCTGCGTGGCGCAACAAGTGCTTCCATCTGGCCTCCCCATCACCACACCTCGGTCTAGGTCGCCATTGCCGAAATCTTCAACTGATGTCTCAGAAGCAGCCCTAAACCCTAAACCCTACACCCTAAAGCCCTATAGCCTTAAAGCCTTAACCCTAAACCCTAAAGCCCTAAAGCCCTTAACCCTAAAGCCCCAAACCCTAAACCCTAAAGCCCTACACCCTACAGCCCGAAACCCTCAGAGCCGGAATCTTCCGACTTACTTCCACACCCACCAGGCCGAGGACTGCGCTCAAGCGAATGAGGTCACTGAAGGGTTTTAGGGTTTCAAGGTCTTAGGGTTTTAGGGTTTTAGGGCTTTAGGGTTCAGGGTTTCAGGGTTTTAGGGTTTAGCAACCAAGGATGAGGGTTTTGGGGTATTAGGGTTAGCAATAAGGTTTTAGGGTTTCAGGATTTTTAGGGTTTAGCAATAAGGGATGAGGGTTTTGGGGTTTGGGCCTGTGTGAAAAGGCGGTGTGAGCGTGCTCCGTCAGAATGGGGCCAAGAGATTTTGAATTCAGCACCAAAAACAACACCGAAAGCCCAAAAAACCCGAACCGTAGACCCTATAGTATCCCCTCTACATATGTACACATACATACTTATTAATACATACATATGTGTAATATATATATATATACATACACATACAAATAATGTGTATATATATATATATATATATATATGCATGTACGTATGCATGTACGTACGACAAAAGCAAAAACCTAAAATACAAACCCTAAACCATTCCAGCCCAACTGCATGCTGCCCTAAATTACTTCCTCATGGAAGCGAAACTTGACATCCCTTCGACAAACAAGGGGCACCACACCCCAGACTGAAAGCCGAAAGCTTTCCTTTAACGTCAGGCGATGAACCTACAACCTGCAGGAGGATCAAAAAGAGTAGAACCCCTAGTTTGTAGGAGCCCCTAAGCCCCAGAAACCTGAATTTAGAGTATACAATACGGTATGTATCGCGGGAACCCTAAGGCGTAGTGTGAGTAATTATCGAAGCGTCCATACTACTTGACTCTAGGAAGCCACTTGGCCGCTCATTCGCATTCTCCAAAGTTGAACCCATGGGCCCCTAACATGGGCCCTTAGGGGATTCTAGGGCCCCTTAAGGGTATACATAGGGTATATAGTAGGTATATTAGGGTCCCAGGGTTAAGGATCCATACTGGGGGCCCATGGGTTCTTCCTTAGACATTCGCTCCTTCATAGCCGTTCACTGTGGAAGCCAGGAGCACCAGGTATGGCCTGGGGCCGAAGATGGCTTAGAATATGGAATACGTATCATACAGTATACATCTTTATATATATATATATGTATATATATATATATGGTACACATCACAATGCTATTGTATAAACATTAGATACTCGAAATTTATTTTTTTGGATATGGCCCGGGGCGGAGGATGCTTTAACTTTACACGAAAAAGGATGCTGATCGCCAGTTCGGTGCCGGTTAAGGGGCACGCTTTTTGAGAGCTCTAACACGGCGTAGGAAGGTGCTGGGGCTTAGGGTTTGGGGTTTAGGGTTTGGGGTGTAAGCCCTAAACCCTAAACCCTAAACCCTAGGCTCATGTTTTCGGGTTTGGGGTCAGTTGCAAGGCTTCGGGGCTAGCGGAGTAGGGGCCATGTCGCAGCTCACAGAAAGCAAAGCTGATGTAGTTGCCTTAATGGTTTTAATAGGCTTTTGGGGTATATTATGCTATATATAATCATAATAAGGAACAGTATTGGCATTTATTTAGGCCCCTATATTACCCTTGGTCACAGCTTTGTGTTTGTAGGCACCCTTTTTCGTTCGCCTGAGTGAAGGGGCTATAGGCTTATCGGAGTTGTTTTGGGGGATGTGTCAGCTCTACACGAAGCTTCTGCGAGGCATGAGTACTTCTTAGAAGGATGCCCGAAAGCCCCAGGCCCTACATCTTGAAACCGTCCTAGACGTGGAAAACAACCGATCCCTGAACTTTCTGAACCTACACGAAGTTGCAGTCTTTACGCTGGATGATCTGCTGGAAGTGCTGGGATGGAAGATGTCAACGAGCGAGTTTGAGAGGCCGTTGGTCATCTGGCGGTCAGACGCTGTCTGGCCAGAGCAGGGTCTCGTTGTTCCCCGTCACTTCCTGGACTTGCCACCAAAGCCAGCAGCGGCCGTTGCTGTGCTTCCTGTTTCTTTCATGGGCACATGGCCCCACACCTTCTCGCGGCCTTTCTGGGTGGCCGCGTGGGGCACCCGCAGCTTGCTTTTCCAATGCGGCTTCCACTTTGACGGGAGACGGCTTGGCCTGGGCCACATGCGTATAAGGGGCCTTGCAAGATCCGCACTGAATCCAGGCAAGGCGGCTCCCTTCGAGGTGACTTTGCCGCCCGAAGAGAGTCAGCCGCATCGTCGGTGAGCATTGCAAACGCTCGAGACCCTATGGCTTCTTTGGAGTTTAGGGTTTAGGGCTTAGCGATAACAAAGAAAGCATTGGGCTTTTGAACGTCCCGCAAGGATTTCGCAGGCTTGCCAGACAGACCAAGATCCTTCATGAAGGAAGATGCCCTCTGCCAAACCCTAAACCCCAAACCCTGGACCCAAAACCCTTATGGGATCTACTTAAGGATCCATCAATGGAGCCGTTCTCGTTCCTTTTAAAAGCCACTATACAGCAAAAGACTCCTCTAAGTCCGTCATCCTCTGGGCAGACTTAGAAAAGAAGCCCCCGCCAGACAACCACATGGACAAAACTCCAAAACCTTAACTCCTGAAGCCTTAAACCCTAAACCCTAAACCCTAACCCTAAACCTTAACTCCTGAAGCCCTAAACCCTAAACCCCTAAACCCCTAAACCCCTAAACCCCTAAACCCTAAACCCTAAACCCCAACGAAAGCCAATCTTTCCGAAGGGTCCCTCTTGCGTTGAGTTCGGCGCCCGAGCAGCTTCTTCACAATGGGCAGCCTGGGCCCGGCATTCGGGGTTCTCAAACTGCGCTATATATACGATAGGTATAGAGTATAGGGTATAGGGTATAGAGTATAGGGTATAGGGTATAGGGTATAGGGTATAGGGTTTAGGGTATAGGGTTTAGGGTATAGGGTTTAGGGTTTAGGGTTTAGGGTTTAGGATGTTACATAGCGCGATATATACTATATGGGTGGTTGCCAAAATCAGGGTCCCTTTTGGGGTACCCTAAATAATAGGTGCCGTATTATACTAAGGACCCAAAAAAGGGACCATAATTATGACAACCACCCAATATATACTATATGTTACATACTCTATACTCTATACCGTGCTATACTTGCTTTTATATGCTTATGATTTGTCTAAACCACGGTCCATGGCTGTGTGTAGCTGTGGTGTGTTGCAGCTTCCTTAGTGTTTCTGACGGTTGTTGAAGCAGTTGCTTGTTGCTGTGTTTCGTTGATTTGGCGCTCCTAATAGGGTTTTCCATAGTTTCAGGTTTGGGGATGTGGGGGCCCTAGAAAGCAATAAATTCTGAAAGCCCCTAAACTATCAACCCGTTTCCCCTAAAGTTTGACACCCGAAACCTACTTGTTCAGTATCCTGGGGAACTAATTGCTAACCTTTGGGAGTATGTTGGGAGTATAGTACCTCCAAAATAAAGGGACAATAGGAGGGACCCCTAGAAGGGAACTCTAATCCTAATACCCGTACTAATACCCTATATAACCCTTATAAAAAGTCCTGAACCCTAAACCCCAAGCCCTACGTCCCAAAACCCTAAACCCTAATTATATACCCCTTACATAGTCTCATAGAGCCCCCTATATAACCCCAGGCAAAAGTCCCAACTCCTAGAGCCCTACGCCCCGAGATGCCCCGAGAATCCTAGACCAAATGCAATAAATGGGTTTAGGGTTTAGGTTCTGATGACTGCATGTTTCCTCTTCGAAAAGCGTCAGGCAAGGAACGCCGCATGTTGCATTTTGCGAAAGGTGAAGACATCATAAAGGAATCATTTGTAGTTAGGGCTTGCTAAATCTTCTACCTGAAATACACAGCGGGGTCTTAGTCTGGCTTACCCCAACAGTCTGAGAGTATACAGAAGACCCGGCACACTCGAAACCCCGACAAACCTAAAAGAACACTTCCTACCTCTCTGATCGAACTTCAACCCCCTAAACAAAAACAAATCCAACCATTGTACATAAACCTCAAGCCCTCAACTGACCCTAAAACCCTAGCGAAGCTTCATAGTAACTGACAACAAAACCTTTAGGAGAGCTCTCAAAGGAACCCAAAACTGATGAAGTCCGGTCGCGGAATGGCTGCAGCTTCGTCAACCACCAACAGCTCGGCCTGTGCTCGCCGCTGAAACACTTCGGCAGTGTTAACATTCATATTCGTCGGTTGGGATGGTGTCGAATTCTACTTTCTTGATTTTGAACCTGGCTACTTAATTTGAAATCTTGTTGGGGTTTTCGAACTCACGTTTAAGGTTTCAGGGCTTGTTCTTGGTGTGTTTTAGCAGGGCTTCACTTTCAATGGTTAATGGCCTCTAATCATGTTATTTAGGGTTTTATTTTGGCAGGTTGGCTTCTTAAACTCAAAATTCCTGGGTGCTTACACTAAGAAAATTATGCTCAACTTCCAGAAGCATCCTGCAGAAAGAAACGGAATTTGTTACAGGGTCCCTGCATGGACCCTTCAAACCCAAATGCAAATGCAGGTTCCCCACGGCAACACCTTACACACTGTCTAAATGCTGAACCCTACGCCTGAACTTCCTAAACCTAATCCAGCAGGCCCCAGTGGTTGCAGGAAAAAAGCGAATTATCGACTTCTGACTCCAACTTACCGCAAGGGCCCAGAACGTTTTTGCAGGAATGTAGACTCCAAGGGTTGAGTGACAATTCTGCACAAGTTGTGGTTCATACTGCTCTGGCCGAACGTGGTGTTGTGGCCCAAACCTTACAGTGTGAGTCCTCTGGCCCCTTTACCCTTGGGAGCTAGGATTAGGGGGACCCTTGGGGATATAGACCCTCTCCATAAGGTCCCTTTTAAGAGAGCCAGAAGTAGGGTTCAGAAGGGGCCTTTAAGGGGTACCCCTAATGAATAATACTACCTAACCCTGTAGCAGCTTTGATACTAGAGGCCTTGCCACTTAGGCTTCTGCACCCGTAGAGAAGAAGCCTCAACCCGTATTCTGAAAATCCCGGAAAACCCCAGCGCTGAACAGGAAACTATGGGGAACCCCACAGTGTGAACCCAAAACCGTAAGACACCACCTCAAACCACAAATTTGAAACGACTGAACCGTCATCAACCTAGACGTTTCGACGGTTTATGCAATGGGGCCCTACACTGTAAACCCTCCTGCCTGTGCTAAGTGCTGCCAATCGGAAGGACTGATGTACTGGACGGTCTGGCGGTGATCCTGCGGCTTCAGAGGTTTCGGTTTAGGAGCACTGGGGCTTCGGTCTGAGTGTTTTGACATTTGTTTACGATGCTTAGGGCCGCGAGCACTTGCTTAATATTAATCTTGAAGAACAATCACTTTGGGACACCTGCGCATAGATGTAGCGCGGTAATTACTTCATCCATAGGGCACTTGTGCTCACGCGCAGCAAGGGCCACGGTAAGAGGCTGTCATCAAAGACAGGAGCCACTGGCAAATGTAGCATGTACTAGGTTCCCCAGTAGCCCCGTAGCCCCTTCACAATAAGGCCCGAAAAGAAAAATGGCAAAAGGCTAGTGGGGAACCTACTGTTGATGATATAAAACCCTGCATCAAGGACCCTAAACTATGAAAATTATGGTATATTCTTTATTATGGGTAATGCAGGATTTATATCATTGATCTGATCAACCGTAGCGTATGGGGACCTTGTGCAGTGTTGTCTTGCCGCTCGCATTTCCCGGAAATGTTGATGGCTTTGGCGCTCAAAAAAACACAACCGCCCGCATGCTCTCAATCTAGATAATGCAAGAGCCTTAATGGTTAGAATAGGGTTTTTGGGGCTCCTTATTACAATCTGCCTACCCCAAGCCCTATTCCAACCAGTAAGGCCCCCATATTACCGGCTAGCAGGAACCACAGTGACCAGGCCAGCGACGCGCGAGCAAAGGCTGTCAGAACTGGATGTAATTTCGTACTGGTTGTTGTATATGCTTTTGTTTTTGTTCGTGCTTCGTCATGCTTCGCAGTACGCTTTCCAAGATGCGGCAGGGTCCTGTTGACCACAAGCAGTTGTGCACGACTTTGTTGCTTGGGGGTTCTAAGAAGCTTCGAGGAAGAGGCACGAGTCAGCGAGTGGGCGTGCAGGTTCCTGTGATTATCTAGCATCCGGGTCGAGCTTGCGTGGCTCATCTTCGCAGCACCTCTTCTTGCAGCTGCTGGACGCGTGCCATCGTCGGAACGAACATGTGAACACCAGCCTCGAAGCCAGCTTCAGAGAGCGGCTGCCCTGAATGAAAGACAACGCCGTCAAACAAGTACACGCGACAGGGAGATTGAAGAACAGGGCACCGAAGGAGATTCTCTTCTGCCAATAACCCAGGCACAAGATGAAGAACGACTTCGTAAACCTGGTTGACGCCCGGGCACCTAATCTTTGACCTGTTGCCGCTGCTCGTGTTATTATCCCTCAACAGCGGAGACGCTGTGGGGTTATATTGTTAGGCAAACGTGCGCTGGATGTACTGGGGCGTGCCTGTTGCTATATTTGCAGGAAGCGTGTGCGTCCTCGCTGCTGCAGCTTGTAATCTTTGGCATTTAGTGCACCTCGCCGGCGAAATATCGAACAGTTGCGGAGGCTATTGCGTAGTTTTCAGAACTGTTTGAAACCAGAACTCCAGTAAACTCTCAGTCCTATTCCCAACCCATCCCAGACGAAAGAATAAACCTAGACCCTAGACCCTAAACAACAGAATTTAAGACTCGGCAGGACCCTCAACGTACTAATATAGGGGCCTTAACAATTAGAATGGGTTTGGGGGAGTATGGTGCTGTCACTATGAAAAGGAAGCCCCCAAAAAATCGTATAGGGAATTATTACGGCCCTTTTATTACATGCTCCGAGGTAAACCCGAGACCCTAAATCCCAACAACCCGAATTAATTGCCCCAGTAAACCATAAAATCCAGAGCCGTACACATATGCTGAAACAGGCTTCCCTTTAAAAAGTACTATAGGGGGCCCCATTAATCAGTAGAAGAAGGTTTTGGGGTATATCATACTTTAATGAATAAGGAGCCCCCAAAATAGTATAGGTACTTATTTAGGCCCCTATATGGGGGTTTCCGACAGTAGGGGACCCTAATTTAGTACCCTGGGTTGTAGGATCCTTATCATAAGGACCCCAAAATACGGTACCCCTGTTTTTCGGAAACTCCCATATTACATGTTCGCACACACTTAAACCCAGAACCCTGAGCCTGACACCTCCACGACTCTGCGTGGAGGCCATGTTATGGGCCGCCCTAACTACCCGAAGCCCATCAATGTAGGGGCCTTAATAACTTAGAATAGGATTTTGGGGTTCCTTATATTAATAATACCATACAATATAGAATGCTAAAGAACCCTAAACCCTAAACCCTCAACCCTAAACCCCTACACCGCTGAACCTTAAACCCCAATCCCTGAACCCTAAACCCTAATCCGTAAACCCTATAAGCCCTAATCCCTGAGCCCTAATCCCTGAGCCTTAAGTCGCCGTCCTTGAAGATGTTTACCCGGACCAGCGCCTCAAACAATCTTCATGTTCGGGGGCGCTCCAAGATCTAGGACCCAAGAACTTATAGGGTTTAGGGTCTAGGGTGTAGGGTTTAGGGTGTAGGGTTTAGGGAGTTTAGGGTGTAGGGTTTCGGGGTTAGGGTTTAGGGCTTTTTTCGTGTTCTTCAGGGCTTATAGTATAGGGATAAAGCTCTCTTGCTTCTGTGTGCCTGCGTTGTTTCAACACGGTCTTGGCTCTATGTATCTCTAGCGAGGAAGCAGGAGCACCAGACAGCAAAGATTCTATCTAAGCCTGGCTTCCTGAATGCAACATCAAGCTTCCCTAAACCCTACACCCTAAGCCAAACTCTAAACCCTAAACCGTCCCGGTACATTCTCCACAATGACACCCTGCTGGAGAAGCTGGGAGTGTCAGAAAAAACACGGGAGCCCAATATGGACCCCATAGAGCATGAACCAACCTTTGTGATAACCTTGAGGGGGTTTTTGAGTTTAGGGTTGGAGCCCTGAGCCCTAAAAACTCTAGCGTAACCCATCTCATAAGCCCTCAAACCCAAAAGGTAGGATCCTGATGTCATAAGTAGGATCCTGATGTCATAAGGGACCCATAGATTACGGGCCTTGACTTGAAACCCTAAACCCTAAACCTTAAACCCGAAACCCTTAGGGGATCCTCATCTGCGGCCGACCTTGGCCCCAAAAGTCTCATAGGAAACTACAGGTGGGGAGTTTAAGGCTCCTTTAAAGGGTTCCTTAAAGGGGTCTATAGGGTTCCTTCAAGGGATTTAGGGTTTAGGGTTTAGGGTTCAGGTTAAAGGAATCTACAGGTGGGGAGCTTAGGGTCTTTAGGGCTTCTATAAGGTATGAGCACAACAGCTTCGGTTAAATGAAAGTACAGGTGGGGAGTTTAAGGTATATAGACCTTCTATAAGGCTCCTTTAACGGTGACTACCCACCTGAAAAAGTCCTAGATATAGAGGGCGCTGAAAAATTAGAAGACGTTCCTTTCAAGGGGTACTTTAACGGTATGGTACAGTGGCCTCAAGGGATGGACGATGGTTTGGGTTCTAATACTACGATTCGGAGGAGCACTGAGGGAAAGTGTTATAGTATATATGCCCCGTATTGACCCCACGACAACAAAACCTATGCTTTCAAGATTGAAACGCTGCGAAATCCCATGTCATGATCGTACAGCAGCCCATCATATGGGGGTCTCCGAAAATAGGGGACCCTAATATAGTACCCTAAATAGTAGGATCCTGATTATAAGGACCCCAGAATAAGGTCCCCCTTCTTTTCGGAAACCCCCATATAAGCCAGGGCCTCCAAGTCATGGTGGGAGGATCCCGAACAGTAGCAAGCCCTTTTTCCACCGCCTCCCAGACCCGTAGACCCCATTTTGAGAAGGGTTTAGGGTTTAGGGTTTAGGACCCTTGCAGCCCTGGGGAACCCTCTACAGTTCTTAAGTCCTGGTTTAGGGTTTAGGGTTTAGGGGTACTCGGACCCTTGCAGGTTTTGGGGAACCCTCTATGGAGGCCTTGTTGAGCTCAGGGTTCTCTGCTTGTACCAGCTCATACTCCTGATGCTCCTGGCGCCGCACCGGGCTTTTAAGGGCTGCGTCTAGGGTTGGCTGTCGGCTCTATAGAGGGAGGCCGTTACGACAATCTCTGAAAACCGTATAAGGCTGTAATCATCAGGTCTCATATCCAAAACTGGCTTGAAGTGCTTGTGACCCTCAAGCCACAACTGAACAAACATGCAGGCAGGGAAACCGTATAATGTCGACCCTGTATAGAGCCCTGACCAGCCCTAACAGCTGAAACCCTAAACCCTAAACCCTAAACCCTGAATCTTTAAACCTTTCGAATTATGTAGGGCATTCAAGCGCAAAAGCTTCTGATCCTTACTGCCGCTTCCTTTAACCCTCAAACCTCCAACCACCCAAGAACCCCAGCTACAAGTGTGACATAAACCGGCAGAGTGCCAGAAGTCCCATCTAAAACCCATGTGGGGAGTTTCCCAAAGATTAGGGGTACCTTATTCTGGGGTCCTTATCATAATGGTCCTGCTATTTAGGGTACTATATTACGGTCCCTACTTTCGGAAACTCCCATGTGAAGCCCTTACCGAAACCCCATGAAGCCACTGCCAAGCCGCTTAAACAACCCGTGCGTAACTTATAGGACCTCACATAGCCTCGTGACAGCCTCCCCAAACCCTAGTCCCTAACCAAGCCAGCACCAACCCTCAGAGAACCCTACACTGTTAGGGTTTAGGGTTTAGGGTTTAGGACCCTACACCCTAAACCCTCAACCCTAAACTCCTAAGGAAACCCATACATCGCGCTTCTAAACGACCCCTCAAAGCTTCACAGCCCTAACCCTCATCCCCACATCCCAAATCACAAAACCTAATCCCTAAATTCCCTAAATTCTAAGCCCTAAACCCAAAAAGCCTAAACCCCCAAAATCGCCAACTCAAATCCTTCTAGGGCAGTCTCCTTCATGCCCAAAGCATCGAAGCCCTTGAGTATGAACTCGAAGACAGTGCTCAGGTTCTCCGGGGATGGGGCCTCGCGGGGCTTTGTGGGGTGTTTCGTTTTGGTTTGGGGTTTTAGGCTTTAGGGTTTAGGGTCAGGCTTTTCGGTTTCCTGGTTGAGGGTTTTCGGGGTTTCGGGTTTTATGGCTTTGGAGCAGGGGGTGGGGTGACCAGAACACACAGCGCGCAACCATATATTCCTGACCTCGCTTCCGAAGAAGAACTTGAAGAGAACGAAGCAGTTAAGACATTGATCAACAGCACATGGACTTGACTTTTCTATGCTGTTCGGAAGTCGTCTCAACAAAAGAAACCACTCCCATCTGACAGCTGGGGCCTGCAAATGCCAAGTCCACAAGCAAGGCTCAGCAACTTCGTTTCAAGGCGCTGTATGTGCTTAGCGGGGGTCCTGAAAAATCGCTGCCTCTTGTAAACACCCGCTGCAACGGTGCGTTCGTTGCATGCACAAACCCACAGAAATAGAGGGAGAGCCCAATACCTCTTCAATCAGGAACATAGTTGCCTAAGTCATCTTATTAAGAACCCTAAACCCTAAACCCTAAACCCTTCATCAATCATTGACAGTATATTCGATCATTTGGGAGTGTTTGTCTGTCCAAGTACCCGGGTGGTGTAGGAACCAAGAGGAGCAAGATCCGTGCAGCCGAAAATTGCTACAACTATTGCGGCGACTACTACTTGACATTCCAAAACCGAGTGTTTTTCCCGTCCATGAAACCCAACAACTTTTTCCCGCTTGATATTAGCTAGCACCACGATGACTTCTGTTCCAACTGGGTAGTTGTCAAAATTATGGTCCCTTTTGGGGTACACTAAATAATAGGTGCCGTATTATAATAAGGACCCAAAAGGGACCATAATTTTGACAACCACCCAACTGCACGCTGCAAACCCTGAGCAGATCTCAGCATGCACGTGAAACTGCAGGCAGGAAGACTCGTGTGGGTAATCTAGGTGCCGAAACTGCTTGAAACGAGCATGAAGGGTATATTCTGATATGCTATATAGGTTTTCAAGAGGAGCCGCAAGAAATTGCTCATCATCCACCCCTGTACTCAAATACGGGTTCAAGATCTCCTGAACGCATATACCGACTTGCTCAATTTCTCGTAAACCTTTCGTTTATGAGGCCGCGAACCCGAAACCCTGAACATCCATGTTTGAAGAAACCTTGAACCTTAAATCTTAACCACGGTTCAGGGTTTAGGGTTTAGGGTTTAGGGTCCTACAATACCCTTAACAGAGCCCTGCTTGAAGAAACCCTGAACCCAAAACCCTAAAGTACCCGGATCAGACGCGTGGGTTAAAGGAGCCCGCCAACCTGAGCCGCAAAGGATGCGTGCTGATAAGCCCTTTAAATCCAACCCTGACCTTACAATACCCTAAACCCTAAACCCTAAACCCTAAACCCTGAACCCTCAAGTGCCCTGACAGGATTCCGGTGTTGAAGGAACCCTAAACCCTTATAGCAATCCGTATAAGGGGCCCGTAAGGATCCCTTAAAACCCCTTATAGTAAGTCCTTCAGGGGCCCCTTAAAGGATCCCTTAAAGGACCGCCCTAAACCCTTATAGCAATCCCCTCAAAGGGCCCCTTAAAGGACCCCTTAAAGGAACCCTAAACCCTTATAGTAAGTCCTTAAAGGGCCCCTTAAAGGTTCCCTTAAAGGATCCCTAAACCCTTGTAGTAAATCCTTAAAGGATCCCTTCAAGGACCCCCCGCCCCCCCCCTTTGGCCGTCACGAAGATGTTGGAGTAGCCGTAGGCCACGGCCGCCGAGATCGCCAGGCCAAGGGCTGCTGACCTCAGCGGATGTTTTCCACGAGACCCAAGGGGGTTAGGGCTTGGAGTATATAGGGTTTAGGGGTTTATGGCTTAGAGTAGAAAGGGTCCTGGGGGTTAGGGCTTAGGATTAGGGTTTAGGGTTTAGGGGTTTGGGGCTTAGGATTAGGGTTTAGGGGCTTTGGGGTTTAGGCTGTTTAGGGCTTAGGGTTTAGGGGTTTAGGGTTTAGAAAGGGCCCTTCAAAAAGGAAAGGGTCTTTTAAAGGCGCTCTATAAAGGGGTTGCTAAAGGGTTGCTATACAGGGTATGGTATAGGGGCTTTCATGATTCGAATAGGATTTGCGTGCATATTCTACTATAAACATAAGAAAGAGCTCCAAACTAGTTTTAGGGTTGACGGTGTAAGGATAGCGAGAGAGCGCAGTAACTGCGCGAAAACCATGGGGCAGTAACGACGCAGAAGGCGGGGGCAGTAACAGCGCAATGGGTGGGACATTAGTTAGTACACAAGACGAGGTCTTACCAGAGCTGCATACTTTGATGCCTCAACCTTCTCAAAAAAAGAAGACCCCTTAAAACACTTGAAACACCCAGAAAAAACTTAGAGCCTGCGAAAGGGACACGAGAAAGCCCTTCATACGACACAAGAAGCCGAAACGCGAAGTGGTGTTCAACGCGCAAAGACATAGGCCGGATTGGCCAGTCTTTTTCTCCTCGGGTTGGCCTGTCCCTGTCAGGTCTAGAAGGATTTTTCGCAGGAAGCCCACGGGGAAGGTTGACTCAACTCAACATAAGGTTCAGCGTTTAACGTTGACTGCATCTTCTTTCCAAGCCTTTCACGCTGCTTCGCGCAATCCTCGCTCGGACCAGGACGTTCTTGTGCTTCCTACAACTTTCACTCCACGGCTTCATCCATGGATCTTGGAAACTTGTCAGTCCTGGACGGCAGACTAAAACCATGCGGGATTAGATCGGCAGCAGCGATGCAGGATTTACGGGTTCAGGGGCTAGGGTTTAGGGCTTAAAGTTGCCTTACTAGGGATCTACAGCTACAGTTTCCCATGGGAACCAGCGAGCTTGACTACCCTTTTTAAGGAGGGCTCCTGAAAGCAGAAACGGCTCCCTGGTATGATGTACGGTGTATCATAAGAGAGCCGAATACTAGATTCTTCGTGCAGAACCAAGTTGAATTACCATAGCATGGGTCTATAGTATATATATATATATGGCTTCCTTAGCCTCTTTATTGTAACTTAAATTAAGTTCCTTCACACGAAGCCAGAAAACTTGGACCCATGATAAACGGCCCTTATCTTAAAAAGGGGTTGTAATAGAGATCCTACGTTTCAGGCCCGCAAAGGAGGGGTGTCTATTGACAGCGCATATCCGTTATCCTGTACGAAGGAAGACTTCTCCAAGCACTATTGCAGCGGGATGTTAAAGTACATAACTTAATTGACGGATATGGGGCTCGCTCTGGAGAAGTGTGGCAACCACAGGGAATTAGTGACTAGTGCCATGTGGTTTGGGTTTCATAGGGCTTAAGGCTTATAGGGTTCAGAGTTCAGCTAGGGTTCCGGGCTCGTGTTTACGGGTTTAGGCAGTTTGTAGGGTAATCAAGTTATCAAGGCTTCAGCTTTAAGAAACTCGCCCCAAAAGACTCAAGCCTGGAGTACCGTACTTGCCCCTACACCCTAGACTCTCAGTGTCCCAGCCCTTGCCAACATCAACCCTTTCACAGTGGCCATCGAATAGACTCCCCCAAAAAATAGCAACACAATCCCGCGTAAAGGTACACATACGTATACACGTGCCAGACCGAAGCATGAACGCTACTTGCAATCTCAACGGACGGCAGCCAGCGTGTGTACTTTGGCGGTCCAGGTAAACCCTCAACCCTGAATGCAATCGCCTTCAAATCGATTGTTCGACATGCAACATGTGGGAATCAATGGACGCTGTGCGAACTCCAACTTTCAACTGCCACCCAAGACCACCCTTTAAACGCTCTTCAAAGAACAGTGACAGCCTATGAATATTGAATATGGGTTCTACATAGTCCTTTCGCACAAGATATATAACTGCAAGCATTCTATCCGTAATTCTACAGTCATCCCGAAAGGTGGCTCGTGAAATCCTGCAGAGACACACCCTAAACCCTAAACCCTAAACCCTACCTACTCATCCCTGCCGCCCAAGCACTTGCCACGGCCTCTCGCTGCAGTCAGTGCCATCCTGGCTTGCAGGGAAGAGGAGCAGGTCATGCAGGGGGCCTTTAACAATTAGAACAGGGTTTTGGGGCTCCTTTTAACGGTTTCTTAGAGGGTTTAGGGTTTAGAACAGGGTTTTGGGGCTCGGATTGAGGATTCCAAAAAGGGTTCTATAAGGGCTACTATACGGGTTTGGGTATAGGGGCCTTTAATAATTAAAATGGGGCTTTGGGGTATATTATACCATCATTATAATGAGGAGCCCCCCACCCAAAAAAAATAGTATGGGTAATTATTGAGGCCCCTATATTAGACGGCTCTGCTTGCAAGGCTTTTTCGTTATAGGCGACGTTGCGATTGCCAGAAGCTCTTCAGGTTTTAAACATGTAGGGTCCATAGGTTGCCAGCCCCGACATCCAGACAACTCAAACTAGTTGTCAAAGCCTTAAGCCCACACGAAAAAACCATAGAGCACGCCCCGCATAGAAAAACAAACATAAGGTCGTATGCAACCCCAATTGCCTCCAAAACCTCCAGAAATCCAAAACCCCAAGCACCCAGATGGGAGCTTCCTGCACGCAAAACTTTTGTGGCACCCACAAATGTACCATAACGTACTATAACATAAGCCCCATAGAGCAACCGAAAAAGGTCCAAGGCACGTTCGATTCAAGCTCTTCTCCGAGATCGCGTCCACGAAACTCATGACAGCTTTTGCCTGCATGGACAGATAGAGGGCTATACTGAACTTAGACCCCTAGCAAAAATTATAATTTTAGCTGCTTCTTAGGGTTTATAGTAACCAAAGACTAAAAATTATTTCTAAGTACCCCTAAGAGAGGGCGGCTTTTGGAACCCATTCAGGCTCAGGTTGAGGGTTTAGGGGGTTTGGGGGTTTGTTTAGGGTTTAGGGTTTTGGGTTTAGGGTTTAGGGTTTAGGGGGTTTGGGGGTTTAGGCTTTGGGATCTTCTTATTCTGTGCGTTTTTTGAGGCAGCTTGGATGTTCGGGTTTTCGCTCATTCATTCATTGTTAAAGGTCTTATCGCCACCTTGTACGGATTCCATGCGATACGGATGCCTCAAAAAGGAGCCCCCCAAAACCCCATTTTAGTTATGATGAAGGCCCCTATCCCTTATAAAACCCTTTAAGGGGCCCTCAAAAGGAACCCCAAAGCCTGCGATGTAGGGCTTGGGGTGGTGTGAAAGGTCTGAGCCGACCAACTGATGCAGGGACACTTCGGCCCTGAAGCCGGATACCCACGGTTTAGGGTTCAGGGTTTAGGGTTGAGGGTTGAGGGATGAGGTTTAGGGTTTAGGGTTCAGGGTTCAGGGTTTAGGGTTCAGGGTTTAGGGTTCAGGGCTTTGTGTTTAGGGTTCAGGGTTTAGGGTTCAGGGTTTAGGGTTTAGGGTTCAGGGTTCAGGGTTTAGGGTTTAGGGTTCAGGGTTGAGGGTTATGGGTTCAGGGTTCAAGGTTTAGGGTTCGGGGTTTAGGTTTTAGCCCAAGCTGCTACAAAACATCGGCAAGTTTTGAACACACACGTATGCAAAGTCGAAAGAACCCAGAAAGCTGACTGTGAGAATAGCCGTCCTGATTTCCACGGTTCCTCTAGGGGCTTTCATAAGGGTCTTACCAGAATCCTTTAACATAGGGGCCTCATGAATTCGAATTGGGGTTTGGGGTATCCTATACCCTAAACCCTAAACAACCCTAAACCCTAAACCGCCTGACGGAGTGATTGCGGCACTTCTTCAAGCCTCTATGTGAAGGATCTTAGGGTTTTAGGTTTGGGGTTTAGGGTCTAGCGTCTATAGGGGAAAAGGGTGTAGGGTTTAGGGTTAAAGGTTTAGGGTCTAGGGTTTAGGGTATTAAGATCCAGAGCTCCCTGAACTCCAACCGTTTACCCGGAAGAGCCTCTTCCTAAACCCTGCAGCCCTAAGTACTAAATCTACCTCCACCCCCCATCGTTTTCC